TATGCCCAGCCCTGTGTTGGATACCTCCGTCAACTTGTCTAACTGGAGATCCAGCTTCCTTGAGGAGCCAGTACTTCAGCTGCCCTTTGCAGGACATGTGGACAATAATCAGATGGAGGAGGGAAGGTTATCTCCAAGTCAGAGGGATCAACATGGTAAAATGCCAGAGGTATGAGGCAACTAGAGGCCCAGGAGTCCCATGTAGCTCTGTGTGGCTGGAGGGAAGGGCCCATAAGAGGGACAGAGAGAGGGCAGGGCAGGACATGAAGGGCCCTGAATGCTATGCTAAGAAGTGGAACTTTGCATGAAAAGCCAGAAGAGAGCCATCAAAGAGTTTTAGGCTGGGTTGAGAAAAGGGATAAGAGATGGGGATCACTGCCATCATCATGGATAATGATGGATAAATGGAGAATGGATTGGAGTCCATAAGACTAGAGACAGGGAGGACATCAGGCAGGAAGATGTTAGCAGGCTAGAATTGAGCCCAGGGAACAGAAAGGAAGACGTACCCAAAAGACACTGGAAGGTGAGGTGGTGTAGCAGTTATTTATTGACAGAAAATGCTGCAAACCAAACCACTCCAAATTCAGTGACTTAAAACAGCAATCATTTATTGCTGAGGTTTGAACTCAGGGCCTACACCTTAAGCCACTCCACCAGCCCTTTTTTTGTAAAGGGTTTTTCAAGATAGGGTCTCAAGAACTATTTGCCCAGGCTGGCTTCAAACTGCAATCCTCCTGATCTCTGCCTCCTGAGTAGCTAGGATTACAGGCGTGAGCCACCGGTGTCTGGCTCTCTAGACCAGCTAAGTGATACTGGATCTTGGCTGGGCTCTGCAGGGTGGCTGTGCTGCACTGGGAGGGGCTGGACTTGCTTGTGCATCTGCAGTTAGCTGATTTCAGCTGTTCTGCCATCTCTTATCCTCCTCCTGGGACCAGAGGCCAATCTAGGCATAGTTCTTATGGCAAGAGGGTCAGAGGGATAAGAAAACGAACTGGATCAGGTGAGCACTTTGTAAGCCTTTGGTTATGTCACACCTGCCAAAACTCCCATGGTTAAGTCAAGTGGCTGAACCCATTGCAAAGAGGATACTTTGCCCCTTTAGAGGAAGACATGGCAAAGGGTACTGGTACAGGGAGGGTGAGGAATTGGGACCTTTTATACAATTTCCTGCTGAGGAAATCCAGATGAGAGATTGGAAAGAAGGATAAAAAGTCAAGGAGAATTCATAAGTGTTGTTTGTTTGTTTGTTTTTACCAAAAATGTTATTTTTATCAGCTCAGCTCTCTGCAAACTGGGACCCTATGCTCCCCCACTACACACACACCACCACGGCTGTACTCAGCTGAGCACCCCCTTCAGGAACAGAGCGTGAGACAGGGGCCCTCTCAGGTGCAATGCCCATGTGGCCAACCCCTGCTCAGAATGGTCTGGGAAAGAGCCCACCCCCAGACCCAGTGCCAATCCACGTCTTCCCTGATCTTCCCGCCAGCCCCGCCCTGGCCCCCCAGATAGTGTCCCTGGGGAGGAGCTGCAACTTCTCACTCCGCCTGTGTTGATTACATATTTCCATCACTTGTTTTCTTCCGTGTGGGCAGAGACAGTCACACACTGCTTCATTCCTGCAAACAGAGTGCGGGTGGGGAAAGAGGTATGTGTTTGCAAGCAGGAGGAACTTGTCTGTCTTCAAGAATCCCCACTTCCCCTCTGTGCCCATCTCCTCTCTTGCTTCTCCTCTACACCATCTCCCTGAATTTCTCAAGATTTCTCCAACTGCAGAACGGGAAGGAGATTTAATCTCTGCCAAGGGGGACAGAAACAGTGTGTACCCTACCAGCCTGACTGGGTGACCTAAGTATACACTCCCCTTTCTGGATTTCGTTTTTCATACCTATAAAACAGGACCATACTCTAGGGAACATTTAATGTTTATTTTAACTAACACTCATATGGTGCTTAATAATATGCCCTTCCATCTCAAGTGCCTTGCAAATATCAAATCATATCATTATCATAACAATGCTTAAAATATCACCATTTTACAGAAAGGAGGCTGAAGCACAGACAGGTTAAGTCATGTCCCCAAGGGCATACAGCTAGGGAGTGATAAAGTCAGCATTTGTACTCAAGCAGCCTGGCACTGGAATCCACATTTAACCATCATATATCACTGCCACTTGTTTTCCTGTCCTCTCTAAACGTCTAGAAGTCCAGCAACCTGGTGTCTTGGAGTCATACCTGTCCCATGCCCCTTATTTCCTCTGAATGTGTGCTGTGTGTTGAATCACATTGCCCCAAAGGGATGTTTAAGCCCTAACCCCGAGTCCCCTTGAATGTGGAATTTGGAAATAGGGTCTTTTTGGAAGACATCCAGTGAAATGAAGTCATGCCATCTTTATAAGAGACAGATAAAGAGAATCAGAGACACGGAGGGAAGATACGCGTGACAATAAAGGCAGAAATTGGAGGGATAGAACTCTGAGCCAGGGAATGGCAGGGGCTGCTGACAGAAAAACAAGGAAGCAAGAAAGGATTCTTTTTTTGGTGGGACTGGGGTTTGAACTTGGGGTTTCACACTTGGAAAGCTGGCACTCTACCACTTGAGCCACACCTCCAGTCCATTTTGCTCTGGTTATTTTGGAGAACTAATTGCCTGGACTGGTCTTGAACTACAATCCCCCTTATTTCAGTCTCCCAAGTAGCTGGGATTGCAGGTGTGAGCCACCTGCCCTGGCAAGAAAGGATTCTTTGGAGGGCTTCAGAGGGAGCATGCCTGCTCACGTTTGGATGCCAGACTTCCCATCTCCAGAACTGTAAAAGAAATGTGTGTTGTTTGGAGTCATTCAGTCAGTGGAAATTTGCTATGGCAGTCGCAGGAAACAAGTACAATGGGGGAACAAATTTTGAAACCTTCTAGAGAGGTGGCTCTGCAAAATACCCCCAAGCTTGCAAGTTCTGTCCCCACCCAGCTCATGCCTCAGATCTTGTCACTAACCTACCTCCTGTGTCCCCTCTATAAGGGCTTGTATCCACTCAGCCAGTGGCTATTCCCATGTGGCCCTGTTCCCATACAGCTTTGATTCTGAGATGGAAACTCTGTGCTTGGGGTCACTGAGTAGAAAGGATGAACTTGAATTTCATGGGGGCTGAGACTTGGACTCTGGGAACTTCAGGGTGGGCTGGGGCTTAGGATTCTAAGTGGCTATGTCCCTAAGCCCTGGTCTACCTACAGGAAACTAGGACCTGCTAAGCTGAAAAGGGGCTCATGGCCACTCTTGGTTGTTGCAAGGCACTGGGCTCATGAGTCACAGAGGTTTGCATCTTAGCATTGTCCCTTCTTGGTTATAACTCTGGGTCAGTCACTTTACTTGTCAGCTTCAGTCCCCATGCCCTGCTCCTACCTACTGCCCTGGGTGGTGATGAGAGTTAAATAATATCACCTGTGTGGAGATGCTTCCGAGAGCTGCCAAGTAGAACAAGCCCTCACTTTACCCAAGTTCCTGGTAGTCCCTGTCCGGCTCATTTTCACTGTCTCCAAGCACCAGCCCCAAGCTGGCTTCTGGTGGGCAAATATAAGAACAAAACCAAAGTGAACTTAGCCTTGTCCTTGGCCAGTCCTCAGAAGACTCAAACCCAAACCCAACAGTGGTTTTGTTTCTCTCTGGAAGCTGATCCCCCCACCTCCCAGTCAGGGAGCACTCAGAGATGTCCAGGTAAGACAGCCAAGTCTGAGAAGTTTGTGTCAAACATCTAGCTCCTCTTCCCTCTCTGCCCACTCCATTCCCTCCACCCAGCAGTCCCCCCAAGTCCTCCCTCCAGACTGTTCCCCAAAGTTCTCTTGCTGGGGCATTCCTCTCAGCTGGCCAACACCTGCCAAGATGGACAAGACCTGGAGCTTCAGGTCACACATGTAACGAAGGTCTGGGACAACTTAAAATATTTTAAGAATTCTAAAGTGTGACTCCCTAATGGGAGAATCATTGGTTCACGGACTTCTGGCTAAGTACATGTTACCCTGGGAGAGAGTCCTTGAACTCCTCACGATCACCATAGCATCCACGTTGTATCCATAGTGTGCCCTCAGACTCTACTCTCCTTAGGCACAGTTCATAACAAGGACAGGTCATCTATTCTGGATGTAGCCTGGTTGCAGTGAAGGAAACAGAGTGGAGCGGTAAAGTCAGACAGGCCTTGGTTTTAAATCTTGGTCTTCTACTTGCTGTGTGCCCTTGGACAAGTGGTTTTACCTCTCTGAGCACATTTATGAAAGGAATATAGCAACTATCTCCCAGTGTTTTGTACAGAACAAGTGAGAATGATCATCTCCCAGGCCTGTGCAAAGTGCCTGGCACACAGTAACCACTGTGTAGCTGGCGTACAATGGAGCATTTCCATCATTGGAATCCAAGGGGTGTAAGTTTGAGTCCCTGCTCTGCCATTTTGCAGCCCTCTGCCTTGGAAAAGTCACTCCACCTCTCTAATCTTGAATTTCTCTATAAAATTGGGATAGAGCCTCCCTCCCCGCCTCTTCTTTTAAAACGGATTAAGCGAGATATAAGCACACAGTCATTAACTGCATCCTGTACCTCTGGGCATTTGTCTTCTCAACTCTGGACCCTTTGCAGTTCTACCTGGCTGGCTACTTGGCTTCCAGATCGACTTGGTTTTGGTCATGAGAAGCCCTTGGCTCTCCGGATAGTCCAGCTTTGTCCCTCAGAGGCCATACTTGTAGGAGCTGTACTTAAAAGCCTAGAAATTTCTCTTGTGACTTTGGCATGGCTAGGGACAGCCAGCGTTGGCTTGGAACACTAAGGCTGGACAGTCGTGGCCAAAGGTCTCCGCAAGACAAGCTGCCTAGGACCACAGTAACCAAAACCATCTGTTTGGTTGCATCATGGCCTCTTGGGGGAACATAGAGTGCCAGCTTGTATCACTTGGCTCAAAATGGGCTTGCTGAGGCACAGGGGGATCCAGAAGAGCCAGCTTGCAGGGACAGGACCCAGAGGGCCCTGCACACGGCTGAATTGACTGGAGGCAGAGCTATTCCCCAGGGAGGGACTGCCCCCTTCCCCCCACCCCAGCCTGATATCACCGGGTAAGAACTTTCTGGTCAATCCCAAGGGAGTTAGCCAAGGCCGCTAAGTGGCCTCCCTGCCTTCAGAGCTCAGGAGAAGGGGGAGGGGAGGGCACGGGTTGGGGAGGAGGAAGCACAGCGGTGCACGCAAGGGGTGATTGTCATGGTTACGCTCTGACAAAACAAATGGCTCTGCTTCCTGCAGGCCACCTAAACAGCCTTGGCAATGTGGGCATTCATCAAGCCGGCCGCCAGGGCAGCAGGCACTGGGCTTGGGTACTGAAGCCTGGCCTGGGCGTGCCCTCCAGCAGCTCTGGGCACAGGGAGGTGGCCTGGCAGCTATGGCTAGAAGGAGTACTTGCTCTGACATGGACATGTGTTGCTTCTGGGGCAAGATAAGGAGGGCCTGCCCAGATCAAGCTGAGCAAGGAGGAGGGGCCAGTGCAGGGGTGCGCATGAGTGTGTGTGTGCATGCGGAGTTTTGTGAAAGTGTGTATCCGTGGGTAGAATCGGGGTGTGGACACTGTGGGCTCACACAGTGGGGAGGGGAGTGAGGGGAGGGGCTCAGGAGCTTCAGCATTAGAAGTGAGGGCACAACCACTTGTTGCTCCTCCTGCTGTATTTCTCTCTCTGTCTCTCTCTCCCTCCCTCCCTCTCTCCCTCCCTTCCTCCCTCTTGCCTCTCCCCCTCCTCCTGCTCTTTCTTCTCTCTGGGTGTCTATTTCTCTGTCTGTTTTCTGTGTGTGATTTTCAATCTCTCTCTCTCTCTCTTCCTCCCTCCCCCCCTCTCTCTTCTGTCTGTGCTTCCCTCTGCTTCCCTCTCTCAGCCTCCTATCCCTGCCACCTGTTTCCACCACCTCCCTGTCCCTGTCATCTCCGCTGCTCTGTCCTCTAGGGCCCCAGGGCAGTCAGGCGCTCTGCGAGCTGTCCACCCCCGGCTGCGGGGCTCGTGCAGCTGCCCTCTGGGTGCCCGGCTTGTGACATTCTCCAAGGCCACTGGCAGAGCACGCACTCTTCTCTGAGTCCTGCATCCCTGGACTCCTGCGAGGTAAGAGGGCTCTGGACAGAGAGGGGTCCAGAGGTGGTGGGAGGCAGTCAGGGGAGGGGGGCTTGGTACAGGACACAGTGTGGCATCTGCTAACACATCAAGTCCCCCGCTAAAAGTCCAGGTATAGGGTCTCCTGCCGCAGCCCCAACCGTTCCATCCCAATGCTCCCCGTGCCACAGCAGCAGAGAGGCATGGGGGGCGGGGGCCAGAACCTTCCCTCCCCTCTGGAAAGCAACAGGCATCTTCCTGCCTGCCCGCTCCTGCTCGCTCTCTCTCTCTCTCTCTCTCTCCTTCCCTCTCTCCTTTCTCTCTTCCTCTCTCCCCCTCCCTCCTTCCCCCCATTTTTGGAGACTTAGCAGCTAGAGCCCATCTTCACTTTCTCTGCTGGGACGTAAACCTATTCCCTGGAGCCACCTATCTGAACCCAGCCAGGTCATGGAACTGGACAGAGGCCAAAGGGAAAGGGGCTCAGACAAGACCAAGCAGCGAGTCAGCAGATCTTTGGGGTGAGGTATGGGAAAACCCAGTCTAGTCAGGAGTATGTCCCTGGAGGAACTTGGTGATGTGTATGGAGTAGCCACATGAGTTGGAAAGGGGGGCTGTGGGGCATGTATATAAAGATGTTACATGTTTAGGGGTGCATTGTGGGGTGCCCTTTACCTACTGGTGGTTTAAGAGCACGTGTGCACATGTGTGTGCATATTCAGAGAAGTGTGGGTTGAGCCTGACCCAGAGGTTGCTAGGCAGGATCCCCAAGGCCTGTTACCTTCCATCTCCAGGGACAGTGCTTGGGTCATTTCAAATCCAGCCCAGGTGATGGTCCACAGCCCAAGGGAAGTAGGCACTGAGCATTGTGGGTGACCTGCAGACCCCCTTGATTTTCTGGCATGATATGAGCCAAAGCTCCTGGAATGGGGGTGGCCGGGGCTCCGAGCATCCTCCCCAACCCTAGTTTCAGGAAACTCAGGCATCTGTGGCCTCTCAGATGTGACAACTGGTCCCAAATATGAACCAGGTAATGCTCTCAGAAGATCCTCTAGCCTTTGGTCATCAGGGTGGAGGTCAAGTTGTTGGGGTTGAGGGTAGGGTGGTAGGAGACAGGAAGACCTACCAGGATAACACAGTGCCCTGGTCAGAGAGGCTGGGACTTCCACTTAGACCCCCGCCTCCAACTAACCTGCTTACCCCTGGCCCGCAGGGAAGAGTCTCAGTCCCTCCTTTTCCCCTCATCGCTGTTCTGCTCTCAGAAAGCACCTTCAGTGGCTGACTGACAAATCATGCTGACTGTGGCTCCATGCCAGGCTGACTTTAGGGGGAGAAGGGACACCCTAGGGAAAAGGGTCTGTGGAAGTGGCCCCGGGGCCCTGGGTCAAGACTCTGGCCGTAGGCTCTTGCTCAGGTTCAGGTTGTCCTCTCTGCTGGGCACTTGGGTTTGTCTCAGCTCCTCCCTGCCAATTCCCTCTGACTATACAGCCTCGAGTAGCCAATGGCTGGGCTGTGCAGGCCCTACGGCTCCCAGCCAGACTGGGAAGGGAGGTTGGACAAGACCAAGCAGAAAGTCAGCAGATCTTTGGGGTGACGAATGGGAAAACCCAGTCTAGTCTGTAGACCAAGTGTGGCTCCAGTTCACAAGGGTGCACAAATCCTTTCATCCCATTGATTCCCTCCTGGAAACCAAGAAGGGAATTTTTCTCTTCCCAGCTCTCTTGGCGAGCAGCATGGCTGACCCACGAAAACCTTGATGCTCCTGGTTTCCTTTCGAGGAAGGGATCAGGATCAGGGGTAATCCAGGTGGGACTGAGAAGCTTCCTGAAGGAGGTGATGTTACTGTGGGGACTCAGAGAAAGCAGTGGTGGGATGTGTCTATGCTGATGGACGAGGAGGAATGGGCAGGGGCATCACGTGTGGCTGGGGTGTGAGCACAAACAGGACTAGGAGGGGCAAGGGGTCTTCAACCTGTGTCAAGTCAGTCCGTCTGAATGAACAAGCAGGCTAGGGTGGAAAAGGGAAAGGATTGAAAGCCACTCGGTCACCAAGTGCCACTTGATGCCAGGCACTGGGCTGGGTGTCAGGTCTCAAGTGAGGAGAGCACAGTAAGAGGATTTATCAAGCTTATGTCAACAGTGTCCACAGGAAGGGCTGGTGAACTTGAGACCATTGAACTAGGCAAGAGGCCAGTGCTGAGAGATGGTCTGGGGCGCACAGGTGAGGACCATGCCGGGGTACACACTCATGAGTCCCCTGCTCAAGCACTGAGGCAGGGTGAAGGTAAACCAGTCTGGGGGTGGGGGTGGAGAGAGAGAGAGAATGCTCTGGCAGAGGAGGGGTCCTGAGGTGGAAGCTTGAAGGACATTTGCCTCCAGTGTCCCATCACTTGCTCACTGAAGTCCATGTTCTGAGGATGAGCTTGCAAGAGCATCAGAGAAGGGACAGCTGCACAGGGGACCAGTACGTAGTGAGCTCCCTGCCTGTGCCATGCCCCCACCAAGTGCCTTTCCCATGGTGCCTGATTATAGCCTCACTTTACAGGTGATAAGAAAGGGTCTTGAAGGCCCGGAAAGCACAAAGCAAACAGCAGAGTCATTTCACCAGGACGGTAGCCCAGCATTTCCTGAGCATAAGCGAGAAATAGAAACAAGGGCCTTTGTGCAACCTCCAGAGGAGACTTAGGGCCACTCCGTGGGTGGCAACAATTAGAGCAGAGTACAGCAGAGTGAGGCTGTACCCAAGGGCTCAGCCGGAGGGATCTGGATAGGCTTCATGGAGAAGGCAAGACTGGTGTCAAGTCAGTCAGTTTGAATGAACACACAGGCTAGGGTGGAAAAGGGGAAAGGAATGAAAGCCATGTGGTCACTGAGTACCATTTGATGCCACATCAGTGCACATGACGGACCTGGCAGCACGGGTGGGATTTAGAAACACAGAGCTGGGTGACAGTGCTCAGGGTTGAGGAAGGAACTTCAGCCAGGGCATGGAGTTGGACTCACAGCAGGTCTGGGAAGAGCAGATTTCTGGTTTGCCTGGAATACAAGGTAAGAGTGGAAGGGTCACATGCAGCCAGGCTGCAAAGGCAGAGAGGGGTGAGTCTGTCAGGAAGAAGTCGGGCTTCTGTTAAGGGCACCTACATTCCCGGAGAGGGAAGTGCTTGGGATATCAGGAAGACAATTAACCTGAGGAACTGAAACGTCGCCTCCTGAATCCTGACTGCGATGTGGAGGGAGCCCAGCCATCTCCAGTCTGAAACCCATTCCTAGATGATGGCCTGCAGCTGCTCCCAAAAGTCCCAGGGGTCTCAGTACAAGGTCTTCCTGCCTTCCTGTTACCACACTGGGGATCAAAATGTCCTGAGGGGTTGGGACACTGCTAAGGTGTTGCTTCCATGGGACCACTCTGGAGACAGTGACAGACCTGAGGCCTGAATAGGGACCTGGAGCACTGCTTAGAATGGAGCCACAGGTGAGGACTGATACAGGGCGGGGATGGGTCTGCCTGGCTTGCCATTGAATGGTCCTTTCCTTGTTCAGGCCCCATGCAAGTTCTGTCTAATGGACACCGAGACCACACAGATGTGAGGTTGTAGTTCTTTTTTTTTTTTTTAATCACCATGATAGAAGAACATGAATGAAATGGCTGCTTCTAAAAGTGACTCTTGGGGTTAGGTGTGGTGGTGCATGCATGTAATCCTAGCAACTCAGGAGGTGGAGGTAGGAGGATCTCAGGAGGTTGACCTAGGCAAAAGTGTAAGACCCTATCTGAAAAACAAACTAAAGCAAAAAGAGATGGGGGGGCATAGCTTAAGTGGTAGAGGGCTTGCCTGGCAAGTGCAAGACCTTCAATTCGATCCCCAGTATGGGAAAAAAAAAAAGTGGTCCCTGCATAAACGCCTGTCCTTTGTTCAAGACCAATGTCAATGCCTGCCCATCACTCACCCTCTACATCACTTGGTTTCTCTGTGGTTGCTGGGTAGGGGAAGCAGCTGACCATATAAAGCCAAAAAAAAGAACTGAAACCTTGTGAAAGTTGTGGGATTTAATGAGACCAATCAAACGGGGCTCTTCTTATCCCATCCAATGTTACAGACAAACAAGCACCTGGAAGTTAGGCCAGTGAGTAGCAGGAGAAGGAGAAGGAGACAATATGAGTTTAATCATTATGTGTGACAGCAAAATGTGACCTTAACGGTCATCTCATGCTAGCATGTAACTCTGCTCAGAAAAAAGATGTCCCCCAAGTCAACCAATCCTCGATTTGTTCTTTGTTCATTGAAAGGTTTACCATATAGTCACGATTATCATCTTATCCTGGTCCAAAGTAAGATTCTGTTTTCTTGTTTTTAGTTTCATTTTTCGAAATAAAACCCCAGGGAAAACTTTTCTTCACCATTTCACGTGAAACCCTAGTCCCTATCTTAAGTGGAGTCACCTTGAGTGCCCTTTTCTGGTTCAGTTTGGGAGGGAATGTGGAGACCTTCTGTAGTCTGTACGAGTAGTTGTAAGTTATGAAAGAATGAATGGATGAGTGAAGGGTGATAGAACCCCTTCCAGAATCTTGCACTTTCACCTTTCAGGTCTCTTTCTTCTGTGTTGCCCACCTCACCTCAAGTCATTCATTCATTTAGTCAATACTTACTGAGTACCAGCTGGTTGCCAGTCACTTTCCTAAGCACTGGGGATTCAACTGATAAAATACACAAAAATCTCTGCCTTCATGGAAATTCTGTTTAGTGGGTTCACTGGCCAATTCCCCTTCCTCCATCTGTTACTCTTTTCCCAGCATTGTGGCCTCTGTCCTTGGGACCATCATCTTAAATCAGAGCTTTGCTGGCCAAGTTGAATTATGCTGCAGTAACAAGAAGCAACGTTTTAATGTCCTGCTCGTGCTGCATGTCCAAAAGCAGCTCATGTGTGTCACCTCGTAATGCCAACACCCCTAGATCCAGGCTAACAGATGCTCCTCATGGGTAGATGCCTTCATGAGCACTGTGGCAGGAAACAGGACAG